GACCAGACCAGGACCTCTGAGACTCCTTCTGAAGATCTACCTCAGATAAACCAGGGACTCACAGAGAGTTCTGTTAAAGAGAGATCTACTAAACCGAAGAGTTAAAGGTGGAGCAGGCAGGAAAATGTTAAAGAAGCATCTTTTTATTTTGTGGTTTATTTACAAAAAATCTTGTAAAAACTCAGGAGCCCAAACAAAGTTAGCGTGCTACAATATCGGACAGTAGAAACCAACCAGAAAGTTCGGAAAATTGTCTGAATCCTCCTTTGGCCACGACTGCCGACACAAGCGAGAAAACAAAGTAAATACCGGAGACTCTGGAGGAATAACGGGCGCTTAAAACGGAGGTAGACCGGACAAGAGCTAAAAAGTCGGGTCAACATAAACCATGGGGGACGCTTGGGGATCTTGGTGACCCTGTAACCTTTCTGCTGGACAGGTAAACCGCTTTAACAAAGTAAGACAAGTGTCTGTAACAGAAGTGTTTCTTGTCAAACGGACCTGCTGTAGCGTGTTGTAGCGCCATCGCTAAACTGTCCTCCCTCGGGTCCTGGACTATGTCACTTTATCCTAGTTGTAGAAGTCCTGCAAACATTGTGTTTGCTGGTAGTCTGTTGGCATCTACAGTAGCACCAATGCTTTTGAATTTCACCTTGACTGGGCCCCATTTGTAATGATCTGAAGGATTTATCTGCATTATATCTGAATTTAAGTGGAACGATACGAGCGAGCAGGAGCGTCTGTTTGTGGGCGGGGCTTAAGAGAGGAAGAGGAGGAGCTGAGGGGAAAACTGGTTGGGAGGGGTAGAGTTTACATTCAAGATTTCTCCTAAAAACTGGAACTAACTCAGATCCTGACTACAACACCTTTAAGAGTAAATGGACGCCTCTTTGAAATCAGAGGCTGCAGACGGTCCTCATACACCTCTCTCTCCAGAAGCTGTCAGGTACCGGGTCCTGCTGCGGAGATTTAACTCACTGAGAGGAAGACCTTGATCCAACAAGTAATGAGGTCTGGTCAAGGCTGTAATGAATTACAGGAGCACAGGTCAAAAGGTCAAAGGTCAAACTCGTCCGTTTACTCTGCTGTCATCAAACAAAAGTTTCGTTTCAGAGTGTTGTGGTAAAAACAGCAAAACAATGAAGAGGAGACAGGAAGAGGTCTGAGGAGCAGCCGGGCGTCTTCATCGTCCAATCAGGACAGAGGACAAAACCCCAGGAGAGGAGCTCCGGGTTTTTTTACACTGCTGAGTGTGTGTCTGAAGACAATGATTGTGTGTTAGTTGTGTATCCCTCATATGTGTGTTGCATAGTTTTACAACTCTGTAACTCTAACGTGTGTGTGTGTGTGTGTGTGTGTTAGTGCACGCTTTTCCCGTCATCTATCCAATCAGAGGGGGTCGTCCAAGGACGGGTCACGCTGTTGTGAAATTGTTTGGATTATTCTTGGACTTCCTGGAAACGATCTCTAAGTGTTTTGGAAACTCAATAAGTTCTGGTTCCTGAAAAACAGCAGCAGAGGTTGTGAAACCTCCGAGTGCAGAGTCGGACCTGACCCGACATGTTCCTGAGAATCACATCCACACACCTTTACCTTCACCTTTGGATTCATGAAAACCACCCGCTGTGATTTTGGAGAGTTCTGCTCTGATGTTCAGTGAAAATAAAAACAAAAGGTGAATAAAATAAAATAAGATAACCTGATCCCTGTGCTGTTGACCTCTCTGATGTTTCGTTAGTTGAAGATTTAGACGACGGTTAAAAAAAATAAAATAAATCAGTCGGGTTCTTCTGAGAATGTCTCAGACACGAGTCTCTGCTTTGAGGAACATTTAGACCAGTTTGATGCTTTAAGTGAGCAGACTGGTCCTGGACTGGTCCAGTTTATCAGTCTGCCGGGTCTTCCATGTTTTGTCCTCTGATCATTAATCTGTCTTTGTCTTGAGGTTCAGTGAAGTTAAAGACTGGACCCGGTTCTGTCCAAATGTCCAGTAATCTGAACCTGGACTTCCTCAGAGCTCTCAACAAAAGGGATCAGATATATTTACATGTTCGTGTCTACGACTCGGTGTAATAACTGGAGGATGAGTTATGGGCTTGGATATTTCCTGGCTAGTTTGTCTAATTCCTGAAGCCTCAGCTGGTTGCTAGGCAACAGCTCCAGGCAGATCTAAGATAACCCAGAGGGAAAATGGTCGAGTCTACAGCTCGACTTTTTTTAGAGTAAACAAACAAAGAGAGCGAGCGATCGGTGGAGATGATGATGATGATGATGATGGACCTTCATCTCCAAACTAAACCAGCTGATGCAGAAAAACTTCACTGTCGTCGTGACGACCACACAAGCGTAGTCTTTAAGAGAAAGTCGTTCACCAGAGGAAACAGAGGAGATAGACCAACCCTCCTGATGAAACATCTACAGGACATTTCCTCGCCGTAGATCAGCTGATCCTCCTCCTACCTGCTCTCTGATCCTTCAAACTTTATTATTTTAATTTAAGTAAGTATTTAAGTAACAGACCTGATCCACCTGATCAGAGAGAGCAGCTCACCCCCTCAGCTCAGACGGTTCCTGTCCTCGTTAGTATTCGGCTCATGGCGGCGTTGTTGTCTGACTGATTAGTTCGACGTTTTCTCTCGTTAGTCTCAGTATTTTTGGATCACCTGGACGTTCTCTGCTCAGGTTTAAAGGTGTCCTCCTTCTCTGTGAGGACTGAAACTAAGACGGAGAGCTCTTTGAGACGTTGTCCTCTGGAGGACAGGAGGACAGAGTGTAAAGAAATCCTCTCATCGTTTGGACAGGTGATCTTCTCTTCTTCTCTCTCTACAGGAACACTGAACCGCTCTTTCTCTGAAGCTTCTCCACATGACGTTAGCTGTGTACATATAGATCAATACGATTGATATTATTGATTATTTCCTATCAGGGTTGATTTATTTGAGGGTCTGTGGGTCAGTTCAGCTCCTCAGGTAGAGGACACTAATAATCCACAATCTTTGATCTGCTCACTTCTGATGTGGTTGAAAAAAGTCACAACAGAAGTTAAAAAAAGGGAGATTAAAAAAAAAAATAATAGGATTCAAATAAAAATGTTCATCAGCCTGTTGATGTTTGATCATGAATATTTAACGTGAAGATGTTTGACGTCTTCTTACAGCCGTGAAGAAACGACGAGAGCTGAAGCTGGAGTTCAGTGGATTTAACAGGAAGAGGAGAGAGCTAAAGACGAGACCCGGAGTTTCCTGGTCCAGGATTACTGAGGCGGTCCACAGGAAGGGTCAAACCCGTCTCTATTTCCTGAGGAGGCCGAGGTCCTTCAACATCTGCAGAACGACCTTCTTGGCTGTTGCGTGCTGGGGCAGCGAGCTGAGGGTCGCTGACTCCGACAGATTCAATAAACTGATCAAAAAGGATCAGGTGATGGTGTGGGGGTGGAGCTGGACCCCCTGCTGTCCAAACTCATGTCTCCCACCCTGTCCACGGTGAACTGGTCCTGCAGAGAGAGGAGCTCCTTCAGCAGAAGGTTCCTCGCTCCACGATGAACCAAGGAGCGCCACAGGAAATCTTTCCTGCTGGCGGTCATCAGACCTTTTGACTCCTCCCTCAGAGACTCGGACGCCCTCAGTCGGTCGGTCTTTACCTGGACTCTGCTGACTGTTTATGTGCAGACTGTTTTACAATGTAGTGTTGTATAAAGTGAACATACTTGTAAATTAACTCTTTATTTTATCTATTTATCTCTTTGTTTTACTTATTTTATCTCTTTATTTTACTTATTTTATCTCTTTATTTCAACTTATTTTATCTCTTTATTTTAACGTATTTTATCTCTTTATTTTTACTTATTTTATCTCTTTATTTTTACTTATTTTATCTCTTTATTTCAACTTATTTTATCTCTTTATTTTAACATATTTTATCTCTTTATTTTTACTTATTTTATCTCTTTATTTTACTTATTTTATCTCTTTATTTCAACTTATTTTATCTCTTTATTTTAACTTATTTTATCTCTTTATTTTAACGTATTTTATCTCTTTATTTTTACTTATTTTATCTCTTTATTTTTACTTATTTTATCTCTTTATTTTAACTTATTTTATCTCTTCATTTTAACTTATTTTATCTATTTATTTTAACTTATTTTAACTTATTTTATCTATTTATATCTTTATTTGTACTTATTTTATCTATTTACCTCTTTAATTTTTCTTATTTGTTCTTATCTATTTATCTCTTTTCTCCTTCCTTTGCACTGGAGTCACTGAGGATTATTAAAGTATCTCGATTCTGAGTTCAGAGGTCAACAGCTGCAGAAGTGGAGAGGTGGTGTGCAGGTACCTGGCATGTGCATGGTGGTGATGGTGGTGGTGGTGATCAGAGTGGTGGTGGTCTCCTCCTCCACAGGCAGAGAGGACATGGTGTTCCTGGTCTGGCTGACAGCAGCAGCAGCAGGAGAAGAAGAAGAAGAAGAGCTCAGAGCTGTGGTGAGAAGTCCTGGTGAGATGACCGTCGCTGTGGACTCGGTCTGACCGAGCCCGGGTACGGCCTGGGTGGGGTTGGTGGTGGTACCTGCACATCCAAAAGGTTGAATTCAGCGTGGTTTCTCAGGAGTCACGGCCCACACTGACCTGTAACCACATCATCTCACCCATGAAGAGTTAGCGTACCTGTACCTGCAGACGCCTCTCCTAGGTACTCTTTACTCTGCAGGGCGGCGTGGATCAGGTCACCCAGGGGGTACGAGTCGGGGGTCGTTGTTGGCGGTGAATCGGGCTCAGGAGTCATGAAGCTCATACCTGAAAGAGTCACGGATCATTACGACTTATTGAAAGAAGAAAACCACGTTAGCAGGAAGTTCGTTTGTTCACTTGTTAGTTTTTAGTTCGGCTCATGACCGATTTTAAGTATTTCTATAAATACAAAAGTCATTTAACGAATGAAGCTCAGGGGAGAAGGTAGAAGACGAAGCTTAATTTACCGTCTCCTCACTTAAAACAGAAATAAATAAGAACATAAGAAGTTCGGTTCACTTCAGGTTATTTTCCTACAACAATCAAAACAAAACACGACCCGTCAGCTTCATATTTCCTTAATGAACTTTGTTTTAAACTGAAATAGTCTGTGCAGCCCTTTAGATTATTCTGTGGGGAGATCCAACCACAGAAATACTCGTCTGTCTGAACGTTGTCGAGTAATCTGGTGCTTAAATGAAACCACCGTCTGTCCTCTTCATCCTCTGAACTGAAAATAAACTTCTTTTGCATCTGAATATTATTGTGAGTGTCTGTAATTTAATTAGACTGTTAAATTTTAATATCCATGATTTGACAAACAGTCTGTTGGTGTGCTTTCTAAAGTTTACATTCTGAATAATTCGTTTATCTCTTTTCTGTAACATAAATATCTGTTTCAGGTCGTTGATAAATGTGTCCACGCAGTAGGTCAAATACGGCTGAATTAAAGAACCATGTTTGTTAGTTAGTTAGTTTGTTCGTTTACTGTCCATATTTGTCTTCAGTCTCATCATGAACAAAAAACAGATCAACAGCAGCAAGGACGGCAAGAACAGACACACAACAGACACACAACAGACACACACAAAACAGAGGGAGGACAACAGCAGCGTGTACTGAACAGATCAGGCAGATCTCAGGAGACAGAGGTCTACGATAATTCAGCCCTGATGGTGTTAGGACTGAATGAGTTTTTGAAGAGGTTAAGATTTACCTTCGGTACTTGATACCGTCTGTCTGAACGAAGTCTAACGAACTCTCTGTACGGTGGCTGAGAAGGATCATTTACTGTCTGAACAGCTTCTTTCCTCATCACTTCCTTGTAGATTCAGCTGAAGTGTTTCTGCTTCACTCTGATTTTAGAGGCTCGATTCACTGTTTTCTACAGCTGACGTCTGTCTGTTTGTGTTTAAGTTACCAAACCACATTATTAAAGGTTCAGATTCCCTCTGTGAGGTTCTTATAGACTCCAAAGGAGTTGAGCTTGAGTAATAGATGGAGGCGTTGGTCACAGGATTTAAAACTGTGGTCAGTGTTGAGGCTGAAATTAAGGTTAATGTCAATAAAGGGACCTAAATATTTAAAACGGTATATATTTAAAATCTACAGAGAGGTCCAGGATTATAAGAGGCGGCACAGGCTCTTTGGTTTTTGTCACACTGATCTCCAATGAGCTGAGAGGAGAGAGGATACAGGTCCTCTGTATCCCCCTTCTTCTTCAGTAAGGCGACCAAGGCCACATCATCTGTGAACTGAAACAGACTGAAATTCACCAGATCCTCAGGAACTCATGAGTGTACAAAGAGAAAAGTAAGGGTGATAATATAAGGGTAACAATATAAGACCCTCATTATTACCTTAACATTTAACACCAACTTTGTTCAAAACAAAATATTTTTACCTGTGCTTTAAGACTTTTCCATGTCCGTTATTACACCGAAGAACCGAAATTCTGACAATAAGAACTCCATCTATACGTAACAGAACATTTACCTCTTTTTTCTGAACTTAGTTTGATTTAAATCTAAAGACGACTACAGGGACACCACTGACAGGGCAGGGGTCAACTATCTATCTTTTACAGTGTACTATTGGCAGGTTCTAAAGAAAACTCTCTCATCTATCGGCATGGGAGAAGGATCTTCAGTTGACCGTAAGTGTAGAAGACTGGGAGAAGGCGTGTCTTCGAGCCCAAACTCAAACTATAAATACAAACTCTTACAGTATAAACGGCTGCTTTGGACCTTCATCACGCCTGTTAAACCACTTTAATCCTCATGTTCCTGACTGTTGTATCAAAGGTATGGAAGACGTTGGTACACTGTCGGAAAGTTGGAGTTACTCTGGAAAGAGGTTCTAGACTTGATCTCCAAACTGACAGGAAAATATATACGAGCTGAGGCTAAATTATGTATGTCTGGGAACGAGACCCAGGGACCCACCGCTGATCGATGGATTACAGAAAAGGAAACATTGAGGACTTCAACAGGATGTGGTCTTCTTTCTTATCCTTTATGAACAACCTCGATGGGCAAGTGCCCAGTCCTGGACAAGGACACTCATCATTGACTTCATGATCTCAAAAACAGCTTGATACCAGTTCCAGTCTGAAGAGTTGGTGTTGTGTTGTTTATAGACCTGAGATGAGTGAAAGTGTATCTGCAGATTCATACTTGTGTGTACATTTCATCTTATTGAGGGAGCGGAGGGCGGTGAGAGGGTTCCTGTTCTTTATGAGCTGTATAGATCTGTCTGTGAATGAACGTTCAAAACCTTTTCATTTTAGACGTTTTTAGTGAGTTTTTAAATTCTCTCCTAAACAAACAAACAAACAAAAAAATGTCATCTTCTTAAAATACTGACTGTCATAAATTTGACACTTCACATAGACGTCACAAGAGTTTGTGATGGTGCTGGGACAACAACACTCATGCTGACATACCTGAGACGAGGGGGATCACAAAGACCAGGATCATCGCAGAGAGGCGTGGGAACCCCATGGCTTTGGATGGAACAGAATGACCTGAGAAGGTTAAAATGAGAAGACTGATCAGCAAGTTCTTATGTAAGGGTATCAGGAGGACCATCACTCTGTCTTCTACTGCAACGGTTATGAAGGAGCTCCTTATTTCACTGAGAAAGACACACATATGTGATAGTAAAGGTGTGGAAACGCATAACTATTGATCAGTGATCCGATCATTTCTAATTCTCTAAGACTTCAGGTCCTGAGTGTGTGTTTACATCAGACAGGCCTCAATGACTCGGATTAGAGAGGAGAGGAAAACTCTGCTGCTGCTCCATGATCGAAGATCTACAAAACATTCAGTTCAGATTCACAGAAATCATCAATCTCATCTGATCAGGGGTCAATATTCAGGTGCAGAGATGAAGGTGAACACGGTCTGAGCTGAGATATTCAGGCTCTCCCCCAAATCTGCAACAACATGCCCGAAAATGCGCTAAACCAAAATCCAAGAACGGAGCCTGAACACATCCTCCCAGGTAACCGTCCACCTGAATCCGCAGCCTGTTCACGGAGCAGCGGGGAAAAAACCTCCACGGTCGGCCGAGGCGTTTCCCCGGAGAAAGTGTCCGCCTGCTGGGACTGAAAGATGGGGCTAAAGGAGGAGGCAGCATCCCTCCTTCCCTCCTCCACCTCCTCCTCCCCCGGCCCTCTTTGTGCGGAGGACGATTTTTGGATCAGTCCTCCTCACATCCGCGACACCGACCACCATCTCGGTACCGTTCACGGTGTCTCTGCCGCCGCTTACCTTCGTCCTCCTCCGGGCCGGGTCCTGTGCTCTGGTAGTCGGACTGGATCCTGTTGCTTTAGGCCCCTGGAACACGGCGGGGTTGGTGCTGCTGCTGCTGCTGCTGCTGGTGGTGGTGTTGGTGCTGAGGAGAAGCCCCTTGCTGGTTACCGTGTGGTTGACGCATTCGGCTCTGATGATGATGATGATGTGAGGGCATTTGTGTTGGAGCTCCAGGTGCGCTCTAGCGGCCGGACGAGGGAACTACAGCGAGGCGCGGGAGAGAGCCACATTCTGGAGGAGGAGCTGTCCACGACCACCACCACCACCACCTCCTCCACGGTGCTGCTGAGGGGATCCCGAACATCCCGACACGGAACATCCAGGTAAACAGACACAGATGGGACACGCTGCGTGGGTTTGCGTGTTTTTAGAGCTAAAACTGATGCATGGCGAGGACGTGTTTCTGCGTGTTGTCCCGTGATGGGTGGGTGTTTGCGCTTCCACGGAATGCGGACATTAAACATGAGCCGGGCTGAGCTCGGAATGCTGCAGCAGAACCAGAACCGACACAGGGGGGGCCCACGGGTCTGCAGCTCATCCTGGGGGGACAGGGTTTATGGTTTATAGAGACTGGATCTAAAGGGGGGTTTGTGGTCACGGTGCGTGTTATTGATGGAGACTGCGAAAAGAAACGGAGTTCCCTCCCACCTCAGGGCGTGCACGTGCGCGTACACATGCACGTACTCACAGATGCGCAGATCATAGTTCACAGTTTTTAATGACGTCAAGTCAGTATGGAAGTCAGTCTGTGCCATCTGACTTTGAGTTTGCATTTCTAAAATTGAAATTTTTTTTGCATCAGAATCAGACTTTGGATTTCAAATCCATCAAATTTCAAGCCCGTATTTTGATTTCATACACTAATTTCTTTCACAATGATGAAATAAATCCAGTGTAAAAAAAAAAAAAAATTCTCAAATTATTCCTTTAGTGAAAATTCGACTTAAAACAGACAGCGTAAAACAGACAGACTCAACATCCGGGTAACCACAGAGAAGCGAATCAATTTGAATCAATTAGTGATCCAGCCAATCAATCAGTTATTAGATTGGTCATGTGACACCGACCCCAGAGGAAGATTGGATCCAATCGATCGCTTCTCCCTGATGTTGAGTTGTTCTATTTTACACTAAATTTTATTCACACTGAATTATTTGACACTTATTTTTTTTACGTTTTTTTTTTAACCTTTTTTTGAAGTCGAAATTTTACTAAACGAATAATTTGAGAGGCCGATTTTTTTTTACACTGAACTTATTTCATCATTGTTAAAAAAATTAGTGTATGAAATAAAAATACGAGCTTGAAATTCGATGGTTTTCAAATTCAAAGTCTGATTTTGATGCAAAAAAATTTCAGCTTTAGAAATTTAAATTCAAAGTCAGATGGCACAGATTGACTTCCATAGTCCCCTGACACACACACACACACACACACACACACAGTACTTGATCAAATTGAGTGCAAATCAATTTCTCGGATGTCCTACAGGACAGCGCCGGCTCTGCTCTGTTATCTTCTGCTTCTTTATTGGAGGTCGTAAAATCTGCGTTGAGATTGAGATCAACACATGAAACACACAGACATGCAGCTTTTTGTCCACTCTGCAGTTTGCTGAAGAAGTGATCTGACCATGAGAGTCGGTCCCTGGATGTTTGGGTGTCAGACTCACTGATGGACTGAACTCAGATCAGCTCTGAACTTCATTTTGTGGATTAGACATAAAAAGGAATCAGGCTGATGAGAGTTAAATTTTCAGAGAGGGCGAACAGCCAACAGGGACAGTCTGTGCTCCTCCTGTGGTCTTAGAGGAAAACCTAAACAGGAAATAAAGAGAGGAAAGGACAAAGAGTGCAGATTAAAGTCTTAACTTCAGAGCAATGCCTGCTGGGAGCTGCAGCTACATCTGCAGTGAGTGTGACCAAAGAACAAGGGGTCTGAGATCAGGATTTATGTAACACCACGGAGCAAGCGAGCGGCAACTAACAACCAATAAGATGGAGCAGTAAGCTGTCTGTAAGGAGGCCGAGAACCGCCACTGATACAAACGTGGACCAAACAGTGTCCATGGATACAGGTGGCACCATCTCAGATACAACTAAACAACAGAGTGGGTTTAAACAACATCAAATATGTAGGTATTCATAAACCACCTTCATTAGAAAAACCATTTCAACTACAAAAGATTCATGTATAATATCAGTAAGGACTTCGATCGATGGTCAATACTGCCCCTTTCTCTACTGGGCCACACTGAGAGTGTTCGTATGAATGTGCTGTCTAAATTATTATATTTATTTCAAATGTTACCTGTTGACATCCTAAAACCACATTTGACAAACTGGACAAACTAATCTCAATATTTATGAAGGTGCTACAGTTATCTGCAGCAAAGGGAGAGATCAAACCACCTGATCTGAGAAACCGTTCATAATCTGGATCCAGGATCTTGCGTAAACACACTGGCTCAATATTGAAAAGAGTTTATGTGAACGACCTTTACAGGCTCTGCCATTCTTAGATCTCTATCCAAGTAACATAAATATGGGAGATTGGACTAAAATCACATTAAATATATGGAAGGCAATAAAATCTGGATTTGGGCTGCCTAAAACTACTTCAGCACTTACAGACATTGGATATAAAAACGACTCTGTGCCCTCTAAATCAGATACAGGCTTCAGGAAAAGGTCCAAGTGTGGACTCTCCGATCAACATCAACTCCACAATGATGGAAACTTTCTATCGTTCACACAGCAAGAGGAATTTCAGATACAAGCATGTTTTCTCAGATACGTATGTCTGCAGTGTTTGACTTCTGTAGTCCAAGTGCATGCTGGGATAGATTGTGGCTCCCTGTGACCCTGAAAGAGACTCAGGTCCAATCCCAAACCGCCTCCTTCACACTCGGCCTTCACTACCGAGTGTCACTCATAATGAAGTCACACTCACAGCTGTGAAGTGCGCCTCAATCGAAATGGGAGGGTACGAACAAGACGGGCGGGTTTGGGACGCCCTCCTCACTCCACCGGAACACGGAAAGATTCATCGCCATAGCAACACAAAGACGCGTCCTGTGCATGGCAGCGTTAATTTTCTTAGTAAACGGACATCATGTTCAGTTCTGATCCGGCTCCCTCGTTTCTTCATCCTCCCAGTAAAATCATAAATCCAGGAACCATCACAGAGACAGGAACTAAATTAAACTTCTGATGGTTGGTGACTCCACACGACTTTGAACCCCTTTACTATTGGACATGAGCCTGACCAATCAAATGTCAGCTCAGAGGAAGATTTCGGAGTTTCATTTGATCTTTCCGAACCACGTCTTTGTCAGTGAGACAAAGGTGGACACAAACGGAGCTGATATTTGTTTGTTGTTTCCTCCTCCTCCATTATTGCCGGCGCACTTCCTGCAAATCCTGTCGTGGGTGACCATCGGTGCTGACTCGCGATTTGAGGGCGGAACGGTCCACTCGCCCTCCTCACTCTGTGTTTGGGACAGCCTTTAATATGGCGGAGCCTCCGTCCTCCTCCAGGGACGTGCAAACGGAGGGCGAGTGTGTAGGGCGAGTGTGTAGGGGCGGTTTGGGATTGGGCCTAAGTAAAAATAGATGAGTTGGGCGTCACAGTCCCGGTCTGTGATGATCTTTAGACTCGATCTGATCAATACACTCTCCGATCCCCACCGGTTTCCCAGAACCCACCTGACCCTGTCCCTCTGTTTCTGTTTCAGTGTCTCGTGGTCTGCAGAGATGATGCACTGGTCCATGAACACGCTGCCCTTGCCTCCGTACGTGGAGCTGGGCGTCCACTCTCTGAGCGGCCTCCTCTGGACTCTGCTGCTGCTCTTCCTCTGGCACTGTTATCGGATGGGCTCCGACCTGCCCATCCCCGGACACGCGCACGCCGGGAAGCTCAAGTCAGGCTCCAGGCGGTCCATGATGTCCCGCGGCGGTAGCTGCGCCGCAACCAAGTGTAGCGCACGGTCCAAGCTGTCAAGGACTGATCAAATTGCTCCCTTTATTTCCATGGAAACGGAGGACGACGAGGAGCAGGGACAGGCCTACCTCACCCCAGTGCTGAGTCATGCCTTGTTCCCGGCTCAGGCCTCTGCAGAGGCCAAGAAACTGTACGCAGCTCTGCAGGAGTACGCCAAGCGCTACAGCTGGGTGGGCATGGGACGCATTCATAAGGGTCTGCGTGAACAGGTAAGTCCAAAACCTGGAGCTGGAGCCTGGAATCACAACTTGTCAGAGTCAGCTGTTCGTCAAAGTTTGGAGTTTTATAGAAAATGAAACCAACAGATCGTACGTAAAAGAAGACATAACAGCTGATGATGATGATGATGATGATGATGATGATGGTCGTTGTTCCTCCTCCAGGTCCGACTGAACGATCACTCCACCATACAGAAGCCTCATCTCTTCTTCCTCCCTGATGTCCCGAGTGTTCCTTTCTTCCCTCGTGACGCTCATCGCCACGACATCGAGGTTCTGGAAGCCAACTACCCGGTGATCTTGTCTGAATTCAAGGCCGTTTATCAGCGCGGCATCGACTCAAAACTGGGCTGGACGTCTCTGGGACCAAAGGTACGATTTATAAGAGCAGGAAACTCTTCGGCTGAGTCTAAATCATGATTATTAAACTGTTTCAAAACGTAATAAATCCCACCAAACATCTTTTTTGGCGTCAAACCTTAAATTATATTATATTTACAACACTGCAGTTCACTTCTGTAACTGTACGACTTCAGTTCAGAGACTTTCTTGACTCCGATCACGTAAACACATGAAGAGGTACACACAGGTAGACTCTGATCAGGATCCATCTATCCTAGTTTTCTGTTTCCATCTCACTGAAGCGAAAACCTTCATTTAGCTCCATGGTTCAGGTTTTCACGTGTCATTGGTCCACCAGTCCATCCATGACTGCAGGTCTTCATCTCTTTCAGGGCCAGGCGGTGTTTCCTCTCTACAGCGCCGGTGTTTGTGTGGCGGGGAACTGTCGCTCCTGTCCCTGCACCTACCGCACACTCCTCTCTCTCCGGACGTTTATAAGCAGCAACTCGTTGGGATCTGCTGGATTTTGGCTGCTGGGGCCCGGGACCACTTTGGGGAGCTCTTATGGACCCACCAACACACGCCTGCGCTGTCATCTTGGTGAGTAAAAGGACGGTACAGTGACGTAAGATAAAACAGGCACCACTACACAGAGGAGAGTTAGCTTTCTGTAAACTCTTCTGAGTCTCGGTCCGTCTGTGATCACGAGGATGTTGCACAACAGAACAGCTCAGAGGAGATCTAACAACTGAACCTCAGCAGCTCTGGACCGCAGGCAGCGTTCAGGTCACAGAACCGGAACAGTATTTCAAACCCGTGACCCACAGCTGAGGGTTCGTTCAGATCTTATAAGGTACAAATTTAAGGAAGGGAGTCGTCCTTCTCCAGGAATAACAGACTTGTATTGAAGCACCATGTTAAAGGGATAATCCGGCGTAAAATTGATTTATTATATGTCCTGTTGATGAAGTTAGGTGCTGTTCTGAGCATTATTTGTGGCTATAGAGTGGCGTTTTGGTTGGGGGCGTGGCTCTCTGTATTGCTATCCTGCGGTCGTTACTAAAGTTGGTATAACTAGAGAAGCAAGCGGTTGACAACATTCATCTCTGGAGGCGGGGTCTAACTCGGTGTTACGGTGGGTTTGACCCTAAATTAATTTTACGCCGGAATTTCCCTTTAAATCCGCAAACTTCACTAAATAAAGCCAGAAAACTCTGTAAACAGTTTTTGATGAGGTGAATAGATTAACCTGAGAAATATGCCTGCACCCGCTGACATGTATTATTGTATTATGTAATGATATCATACTTCAATAATCCAAAAAGGGAAAAAAAAAACAATAATCACCATAAAGGCAGCAGCAGTTTGTGGGTCATGGCTGAGGTTCAGATCCCCTTTAGCCCAGTTGTGCGGTGCTCCATCTGGCTTTAATCCACACACACACACACACACACACACACACACACACACACACACACACACACACACAGGGATGGAGGACAGGCTCTTCCCAAACTCTAACACATCGCCTCTGTAGGTCTGCAGACTCCGCCCTCCTGCGAGCTGGTGGTTGGAGGAGAGCCTCAGTGCTGGTCAGAGGGACACTGCCTCCTGGTCGATGACTCCTTCCTTCACACCGTCTCCCATAAGGGTCAGTGAATCATGTGGTTTTATCTGATCAGACCTGTTAGGGGTTCACCTCTGCATGAGTTTTAGCACGTGGTCATTTATTCTCTTTAATTAGACGGTCGTGAAGCAAAGTGAAGTCCGTTTTTGGGGCTCCTCGTACAGATCTGTGGTTGGGTTGACTTCACGTGGACAAATGTTCAGCTGAGGACGAAGGTTTTGAGAATGACACAAATATTAATTTTCCTAAAGTTGCTGCTTCAGTTTTTCATGATGGTCAAAAACATGAAGTCCAGAATGTTCTGAGGAGTGATCAGATGAGATGTAATTAACTGCAGTGTACCTATTTCTACTGCGTTTCAGCCCAAAAGGATCAGCTGAGATCATCTGAGTGATTCTCTGGTTAACACGGGTGAGAGTGTTGATGAGGACAAGAGTGGAGGTCGATCTGTCAGACTGACGGAGTAAGAATAACAGAGTGGAGGATTTAAAAGGAGGGTGGAGCTGAAATCATTGTTCTTCCTGCAGTCATTATTACTTTAACTTCACAGAATAAGGATGTTAGTAAGATTACACCGAAAACAATCAATCATCAGATCATCAGGAACTTCAGGAACAGAGGTTCAATGATTGTGAAGAAGGTTTCAGGGTGCCTAAGAAAGTCCATCAAGAGTCAGAACTGTCTCCTAAAGTGGATTCAGCTGCAGGATCGGGGAACCACGAGTACAGAGCTCAGGTGTGAGTGAATCTGTGAGTACAGAGAGGAGAAGAGAAAGAAGAAACTTCTCTCCAGGAAAAACATCAGAGACAGACGGATAATCTGTAAAAGTTCAGGGACTGGACGGCTGAGGACTGGGGTGAAGTCTTTTTCTCTGATGAATCTCCTTTCTGATTGTTTGTAGAAGAAAAGGTGAGCGCCACCATCAGCCCTGTGTCATGACAGCAGTAAAGCATCCTGAGATCATTCATGTGTGGGGAGTGGACTCACAAAAACAGTCATGAATAAAGAACCAAAACATCCTCAGAGAGCTTCTCCAAACATCTGAGATCAGTTTGGTGACGAACAATGATGGAGCGCCTCACCATGAGGATAAAGTGATGAAGTGACTAAAAAAATGGGTCTATGGGTCTATGGTCAGGAACCTCCCCAGACCTTAATCCCACGAAGAACTTGTGGTCAATCTTAAAGATGTGGACAAACAAAAACTTTATGAAATGTTTGTAATTAGACTTTAGTGTAACACAGAAACATCTGACAGAAAGATCGAAAACCACTGAAGCAGCAGAGTTTGTGAACATTCATACTTGTGTCATTCTCAGAACTTTTGGCCTCGGCTGTAGCTTCAAGGTCTCACAAAGTCTTTGCAGCACTTTTATTTTGAAAGAAGGGTTTCTACTTCTGTTCAGTGATCTTACAGTTATAGTTCATTTACACACCAGCACAGCAGGAGGTCAAAGTGAAACCTGAATCATTAAAACGATGCTGTGTCCTGAGATCTGACTGATCTACTCGGCGCTCCCGTTCTCTCATAAACCTGCATCTACTTGGACTTCCTCCTCAGGGCCTTCGGATGCCGGACCTCGAGTCATCCTGAGTGTGGATCTCTGGCATCCAAACGTGGCTGCAGCCGAGAGACAAGCTCTGGACTTCATGTTCAGCCCTGACTGCTGAATCCACTCCTGTGCTCCCACCACCATACAACACGCAGGGATGCCTTACTTTAGTCCTGCTCGTTGTGGGTCATTCATCTCATTCCAGTCAATGAATCACTGTGTGAATCTGACCTAAGAGTTACACAAGCCATCAGCCACACTTTCAGGTGGTGTTGGATTTATGGTCTACACCAGCAAGTGCCACATGGATGCAGTATAGATGATGTTGTCTGAAAGCACAAGGATACCGACCCTCTGAGGAGCAGATCTGCTGTTGTAAATCTGATCTCTACATCCTATTCTATGCTCGTCGTGAATGCTTCCTGCATGTGAAACCTCTCGGTCCTGATTCCTGGACTTGCATGTGCTCATATGCCTTCAGGACGGAGAGGCCGGTCCAGTCTCTGTTATATTTGAAGTGGATTATCGAAGACTCAACCAAAAATACTGTGAGAAAGTAAACGATAGTTTATTTTTGTCCCCATAATGGATGCCAAACTTATATCAACTTTTGCACACTGTGGTTATTCTCTCTGTTTCTTTCTATAATCCTCTGTGTGTAACTGTGTGTTTCTATCAATAAATATCTATATATATTAACATGTTTGTTTCATTCTGACACTTCTTTTTCACTGGTTTGTTTGTAGGTTCCACAGCGATAAACTAAAACCTGATAAAGACGGTCTGTTCTCGCTGTAGTTTGGAGCAGAGCTGGTTCTATTTTAAAGAGGGGAGTCAGGATCTGAGGAAGTGCCAGTTTTTGGGAGAAACCTTGAATGTAAAAACTATAGATATCTATAAGACAGGCAAGATGATTCAAGGCAGAGTCACCGGTGTCCCTGCACGGCGGCCATCTTACTCCAGTACACCATCCTGGTTCTCTCTATGGTAGCTGACGGGAGGTGAGTCATCTACATGATCAAAAATCCTCTTAACTCGCTGAAATCTTGACAGATTTACAAATGGTTTTGTTTATTACAGACCTTAATAACGTGGCTATGAGTCGGAATGTTTGGACATTTTAAAATGACAGATTTACTTTAAGAAAAAAAAACCTTAATCGTGCAGCACAGTAGTTTCACGGCTATTTGTGCGCAAGGGATAACTTTGAGTCGCTTCGAACGAGTTGTCAAGGCTGAGACCACAATCAGGATTTTAACTTTCTTGTATAAAAGCCTTTTTTTTTTAGTCTCAGTCTCCATCTTTGTGGATGTGTTTGTGTTTATCAGCTGTCTAACTGGGCTAACAGACCCGCTGTGAGTGAGACCAAGTACGTATTACAAAGTTGACCCAGTAATTTGACATCAGTTAAAGAGGCAGTTGGGAAAAGGAACTGATAAGATTTTATCGATATCGGTGCCATTATCGATTCAATTCTTTAACCATTCCTTTATCAAAGTAGACTATAGCTTTTCACCGTTAATTAAAAATGTTACTGAGTCTCTGATAACAGAAAAAGATGTGTAAATGGACTGAACCATTTGAAACCAGTTCTCAGCAAGAACCGGTTCTCGATTCCCATCCCTAGTAATGTTTGTGTCTTTTATCAAAAATCACTCTGTTCTCCGACACGTAAACAATCAGCCGGTTCTGAAGTAAGATTCATCAGAACTGAATAAGTCCAGTTTCACGGTTCTGAAACAGTCCTGGTCCATGAAGCTTTAATGGTGATTTTTTTTTGGAAACTTTACAGTCAGTTGATGAGAATTACAGCCATGATTCTGTCTTATCTGCCATCTGTTCATCTGAAGGTCCCATGACGAGGATTACAGAGACTGACCTAATCCCGCCCAGAGAGACAGATTATTCCTCAGATTGTTTCCATGCAGATGAATGTATGTAGTTTCATCATGTATGTATGATTCACTCTTTCTTCACGTTTCATCCCTCAGCTTTGGGCAATCGGATGTAAAGACACGCGTCACAACAAAGCAAATCTTCAGTTTTCCTGCAGCGGATCAGAGACATTAAAGACTCGGATTTGATCAATACGGCAGAACCATCAAAACTACGTCCAGTCCTGTGAATCACAAGAAGCTTCTCGTCTTCTGACCGTTTGTCCTGAAATCTTTGTTTGACACACATCCTGATTTTTAACTCTGCTGAGTTTAGGCCTCGAAGATTACAGCCGGCTCATAAAAACAGCAGCAGTCTCTTTTTGGTCATTTCATGTGTTTTTTTTATGATGCAGCAGCTTTAGAAACTCCGGGATTAAATTTACTGAAAGACGTCAAATGAACGAGGTGGTTAAAAAATAATCTGTGATAACAGTTTTAGAAATCATCTCTCATCCTCATAAAACTGGATTATTTCTGACCTTCCTGATCTATATTTCAGTGAGTCCTGCCTCCCACAGTAAGAAGGGAAGAGCAGAAAAATGACCTCAAATCAAAAACTGTCGGAATAATCAGAATAAAACGTTCCACACCAACAACGCAGACTTGACCAAAGTGTTGGTTCTGTTTTGGTTTGACATAATCGGAGATGATCCTCTGGGGATCCTGAACTGATGGTCTGTCCTGTTCGCTCCTCGGGAACAGGCTGTTGGATGGACCGACAGATGTACGCAGATTTCAGGAGCTTATTTCAGTTTTTTTTTTCACCCCTGAGCTTTACTGAATTTATCTGTCAACTCCTCTGCATGAGCGGACGTTTGTCGGCCAATCATTACATTAACATTCAAACACAGGAAAATAAAGAGATTAAAAATGAGCCGTTTTTACTGTTTATGATGTTTCAGATTCAGAGTCCCTGAAGTTTGATCTTTGATTATGACTTTTTAAGTCCTGATAGTATAAAGTTTTATTACCTCACCCTCATGCATTTTACATTTACTGAGCTTCTTAAAATCTTTATTAATAGTTAATTACCTGTGAACTATCCCACTGATTAACAGGCAGACACCGTTTGAGGAACACTCAGATCCACAGAGAGACCTCGGACTTGTTCAGTTTTATGAAACCTTTATTGCAGCGTGTTCACATCTCTGAGACTGAACTCTGATTTTTTGTACCAAAGTTAATAAAGTTGATCGTTCATGTCAGTCCGTTCAGAGGAATCAGAGGAGAGTGTGTGAGGTTTGTTTCCGGCTCCATCCACCGTCCCGTCATCTCAATAAAGACGTCAAAATAAACCGAAAGTATTCACAGTTTGGATGACAAACCTACTCTCACATGTTTGGACAGCTGATGAAGACGTGCTCCCTCACCTTCTCTGAGTTTGAATGTATGGAGGCTCAGAAACTTTGAGGGAAATCAAAGTTAAAAACACATTTTTGTTTACAAGACAAAGCATCTTAAATAACAGGAGAATAACTTTAAAGTTCAAAAACTCAATCCTCATAAAAAATAACTAAGTACACTCTCTCCGTTCACAGTCACTGCTCCTCCTGTCGTCCTCATTTCTGCGACATCATTTTCACAAACTCTGAGAAGAGAATGGAGAAAATCAGGATTAGTTCTTCAGAGTTAAAACGACATTCACTCCTTTGTCTCTGAATTATGATGAAAATTAAAAACCTTCAGTATTTTAAAAAGACACCAAAAACAATCAGCTGATTTCAGTATTTTTTAATCTTATCTTATTGATCCTCTCTAGGGCCCGACCGATATGGACTTTTTGGGGCCGATGCCAATATCGGTTATAAGAGGGAAAAAATCTGATTTGATTAATCGGCCGATTTTTTACATTTTTTATGAAGTTTTAAAATTTTGTTAATTTAAGTAATATATCAATATATTTGTTAATTTTTTTAAAACAAATGGCTGCTTTTGAGCCTTTCAAACACTTCTCAGTAACATTAACTTCAGTAATATTCCACGTATTTATCATGAATCAATGAATCAAATTTATCATGATCATGAATCTGATCAGCTGCCTCAGTCAGAGAAGTCGCTCCATCACTAATGTGTTCTGTTGTTTATTCGACCGTTACTGACACGGCTAACAGTGTAGCAAGGCTAATAGCAGATGGCTAACTCTAACTTTAGCTTCATATTACAGAACCGTTTTTTGTCGTGCGATTATTTTGGACGTCAATATTTTTTTCGAACCCGTTTCCTGTCATTACAAGCGTTCACATCAGCGACGTTTTCCCGTCCTGCGATATTGTGGCATTTATTTTTTCGGATCACGGTCGATCTAAAGTGTAAAGGTGGTACTTTCCCGGGGTTGTGTCTCCCCCCCCCCCCCCCCGGAAAGTCGCAAAATCACATCGGGCTTGATGTGTTTAGTCAGGCGCGTCAAAATTCACCTCAGAATATTTCATAATTTCACGTTCTATATTCACGTCGGCCCCGGTGTGTAAGGAGCTTTAAACGGGCTAGAACTGGCCGATTTAATCGTCTTGCCGATAAATCGGTCGGGCCCTAATCCTTTCCCTCTTTTAACCTGGATCATTGATTTATTAATGTAACTCCAACTTCACTCAGTGTTGTAGTATTAAATAAGAACCTTCAGTCTTTGGGGTCAGGGTTTTTGTTGGGGCTCACTATCTCACCCTCAAAGTCAACGGTCCCGTCTCCGTTGCCGTCTGCTTCCTTGACCACGGCGTCAATTTCCTTGGCACAGGTTTTTTCTCCTAATAACTTGGTCATGGCGTGCCTCAGCTCGTCAGACGTGATAGAACCATCGCCGTCGATATCAAACTGTGGAAAAGAGAAAAAAAACAGCTCTGTGAGGTGGAGGTTGATCGTGGCGTCATGGTTCTAATCATATTAATGTCTAATTTTAGTTTGAAGAGTATTTTCACACAACATCCACCGTGGGGTGCCAAAGAGCGAAAACTGAACCCACCTCTCTGAAAGCCTCTTTGAGCTCCTTCAGGCCGATCATCCCTGCAGTTTCAGCCAGAAGTTTGGGGGTCATGAGTTCCACAAAGTCCTCAAAATCCACCCGCCCCCCCACTGAGAGCCAAAACAAAAAATACATTTAGTGTCACATTTAGTTCAAGTTTCATAAAAACACTAATGATAACATGAATCAGACAAACGTCATGAAAAAACTCATCAATAAAATCAGGTTTCATGTTCAAAGTCTGTCTCCAGAGACCTGAACCACTGAAACTTCTCCGTCTGCTTCATGATTTGCACCAAACTTTCAAATCCGTTTGGTTCAAATTTTAAGAAGCAGAAAGTACAAGAAGTTCAAACTCAGAAATGTCGTTTTTATATTTGTTAATATTTCATACAGAGCAGAGGGAAGAGGACAGGCTCACGGTTCATGTTGATGTTTTGGCTCAGCTCTATCAGCTCCATTTCTGTGGGCATGTAGCCCATGGTCCTCATCAGGTTCCCCAAGTCCTTACAGCTGATGAGACCATCCTTGTCTTTATCAAACTCCACAAAAGCTTCACGTAACTCTGGAGCACAAGGACATGATTTACAATAAGATGTGATGAACATTTCCAAAAACAGACGATTAAACTTTAGTCTGTCCAGATGTGTAAAAACAACATTTACCTTCAATCTCATCAGGAGTGAGAGATCTTTTCTGTAAAACAGAAACAGCATATTAAAATCTTTGAAAGGTTTCAGTTTTGAACACCTGCTCCGCTCTGACTCTTCAGATTAATCCGTTCGTTTTCACACGACAGAATTTCATGATTTTGGTGAAAAGTTCAGACGAACGTTAAACCGAATCAGGAGATCTTCACTTTAAAAGATCGTCTCTTTTATATCTGAATCTATGAACATTTACTCCATCTACTTTTTTTTTTCAAGAGTGCTCAAGACTTGAACTTTCCTGTCTGATCCACAGGTCGGTGTGTAATAGTTCTCATATTTAGAAAATGTTGGCAGAACAGGAAAAGTCTGGGATGACTCCGTTACTGCGTTCATAACGACCTCGTTTACAAAAATTCACTCAGACGTCTGAATGAAGGATCTCTAAAGCCAAAGAAAGAAACTATCGTTAAATGACCATCGACTGTAAAGAGTTAACATGAAAAACACTGACTTACTTTCCTGTTGGTTCCTCCTCTCAGAAAGATGCAGGCCTGTTTCAGACTCATGACCAAGTCTTGGTAAAAATCCTCGGCTCTTTGTTTTTGTGTTTGTTTGATTTGTTGCTGAAATAATCAGACTCCTTTTTTCTGTGCGAGCATGTGTGTGTGAGTGTGTGAGTGAGTGTGAGTGTGAGTGAGTAAACCCTGATCAGCGGGGATCTGTGGACGCCGGAGAGGCGGGATGAGGTCTCATATGGATTATCTCTGCAGCTTCAGTCTGGGAACAAAGATAGGCTTAATGCTGGTCATCTCCACATGACTCCTCTCCACTGTCAGACATCACTGCAGCGTTTAAAAGACTTTTAACAAGTCTTTTAAATGTCACTGGATTCAAACAGGGAGATTTCAGGGTTACGTTAGCTCATCTTTATTTCAGGCCTTTTGTGTTTGGAGGATGGAAACCCTGCAGAGCCCTTATCGGTCACATCTGTTTGCTTTTTCAGTTTAACGGCTCATCCTTTCATAAACGACGATCTGGATCAAGTTTCTATCTGATGTCGATAAATCAAACCATCACTCGGCAGAGCTGATGGGACACAAGACGTTTCTCTTCTTATATCACTGACAGGATCGTATATCAGGCGCTGGTCTGTAAAATTTCTAAAACTGAAGTTTCTCTGAATATAAAAGAAGTTAAACTGCGTAAATGTTAAAAATTAATATAACTAAACACTGAGAGTCTTATTGGACGGTTTATTCTTCTGAACATAAAGGGGATTTGGAGATCGGTTCATGACTGCAGCTGTTCTGTTTTGATATGATAATGTACATTACATTATTACATAACTATAAACACACATACACATATATAACTGCTGAATTATTAAGGAGATTCTCGATTCACACGCAGGACTGACGGTTTCAGCTGGAGCTCTGGCAGCTTTGCATGAGAGGTGAGGAGTGAAATAAAAGGGCACATGAAGATTTGATTAAACAAAAGCAGTGTGTGTGTGTGTGTGTGTGTGTGTGTGTGTGTGTGTGTGTGTGTGTGAGCTGAATGTAAAGAGGCTGGAGGTTATTGGACACCAGGGGCGGGATGATAATACCAGGAAATCACTCTCTCTCTCTTTTTACATAACTGCATTCATCCTGGTCATACACAGCACATACAGCACATACAGAGGTGTGTGTGTGTGTGTGTGTGTGTGTGTGTGTGTGTGTGTGTGTGTGTGTGTGTGTGTCAGTACCAGAGTGATATTAGCTTCAGATCTGTTCAGAGACAGAGCGGCTGAACAGACTCTTCACTCTGCAGGAGCTTTGAATAGATCTGATATTATTGGTTTAAATTTGATTATTGATATAATAATAAACTCAGAATACTGAAATATTTCACTTCCAGTTACAGACACGGATGTCGTGGTTTACTTCAGAGCACAGTCATGGTGCAGACGGCTGAGCTCACACTCATCTAAGATGGTCACAGATACTCTCGACAGGGGGGCGGAGCCACAGGTCCCTGCAGAGACGGTCAGCTGTTCACGGTGATGGTTGACTGACGGCGTGTTTTCAGGGCTGATTATTAATAACTCATGAAACCAAGAGTCGATACTTGGAGCCAAAGTGCAGTAAATATGGAAAACTGTGAGTCAACAGTCAAATCACTTCGATTAGAATTTGATTTGAATTTAATTAATATTATACTATTTTTTTATTGTATACACTGTATTTATACAGTCACAAACATTTTTCTTTTGGTACGTACATGCATGCATATATGTACCTTAGGCAAAACATCTCAAGTAAGTCCAGTTGTTCTTTCAATAAAGACTCAAAATCATAGATGCTGCATCCTCAGTTTTAAAGAGCAGAGGGTCCACTCTGCTAGTTTGAGGTCAGTATTCAGAGGGTGTGATCCTCAGAGGAACGGAAAGAAGTCGGTGTAAATTGACACGTTAACTTGAATGGTTACGATCAGCTACGATCGGAGGATACGACCTTTTAGGAGACGATCAGGATGAAGGTGGAGGTCAGGGTAATACTGTCACAGTCTCTGTATCAAGAGACTCCTGAACCAGACACAACAAATGACAACCAACGTCTCACCATGACACCAGACCGTGAAGTTACAGAGTCCACCATCTGGCCCCCAGTGAACCCCGAACACTCACAGACTCAGGTGCTGTTTGTGGAAACACTGAGTCGACCTGGGATCTTTCCTGTTTTTGTGAAGTTGTTTTGGAAACGGGCTGGTCAACAACATTCACCTCCTCCTCCTCCTCCTCCTCCTCCCTGAACAAACTTCTAATGCAAATCAGAGAGTGTACTTCTGTCCTCTCTCTGCCCGACTGTCCACTCAGCTGATGTGAAGCTGCTGAGTTCACATTATTCAGTCTCAGGATGATTGACACTCTCTCCGTTCTGCTGATCTTTCTCTCTCTGCCCTGTGAGTTTCTCCTTCTGCAGTTCTGATCACAAACGCAGACGTTTCATCTTCTAACTCGTCTCGTCTGTCTCCTCTCAGGTTTTAAGGGCCAGGCTTTGGAGTCCATCCCTTCAAGGTTCAGTACTGAAACGACCCGGAGAAACCCTCAGTCTGTCCTGCAGGGGTTCTGGGTTTGACTTCACTCAGTATGCTATGCACTGGATCCGACAGCCTGCAGGAGAGACGCTGCAGTGGATGGGGCTCATTTACTACGATGCAAGTAAAACAGTATATAGCAGCAGTTTGCAAGGACGAATAGAAATCAGCAGAGATAACAGCAAGAGCATGACTTATCTGAGTCTGCCCGACCTGAAGCAAGACGACTCTGCTGTTTATTACTGTGCTAGACACCCACAGTGTTTGCAGGAAGAGATGAAGCTCTGCAAAAACCTCAAAGTATTCAAACCTCAAAACACCACCAGGGGGCAGAAGAGCATTAACGAAGGAACCACCATGGTGCAGAATAAAGTAAAAAAAAACTGAAAACAGCAGCTGGGTTTCAGTTTCTCTCTCTCTCTCTCTCTAACATGTGCTCTCAGAGGTTTTCTAGATGCACTAGTTTGGAAATACCATCACTACAAAAGCACACGTGGAGCTAAACTAAATGACTGACAGTTTTTGTTCTTACAGCACCCATCAGTATAAACGGGTCTGATAACTCTCATTTTGAACTCTGATGAAGGCCTGAATATATCTCAGTGAATGAACTCTGTTAGAACCATCGGGTCAAAACGCTGTTATGGTCTGAGACTAAAAGCAGACTCTCAGATCCTGCGGTCTTCTTCAATTTAACACAAAATGCAAAAAAACTTCATCCAAGTGTAGAGTCTGAGACGTTTTCAGTTCCTCAGCAGATGTTTTTTTTTTCACTGCAGGCTCCTCTGACTCTCAGTCCTCAGACATCTGCTAACTCTGAAACCATCGAAGGTCTTCATGCAAACCTGCAGCAGAGTTAACACACACACACACACACACACACACACACACACACACACACACACACACACACACACACACACACACACACACAGCTGTAGAGTCTGGATGAACTAAGTGTCCGAGTTTTACTTAATACTAGGGCCGATATGGATTTTTGGGGCCGATGCCGATACTGATTATTGGGGGTGATCCGATTACAGATTAATAGGCCGATTTTTAACAAATTTGTATAAATTTATAAAATACTGTTGATATCTGAAATATATACTACAGATTTACTGTAGGCTACTGCTCTTCATGCCGACAGGAAGACCGACTGATCAAACTCGGACCAGAAAAGTGTTTTCAACGACCCGCGCCGATCGGTTCCTCCGTCTTAACTCCCGTTCCTCATTTCCGGTCCGGTCTCATCTGGAGACATGCAGCTGCCTCAGTCAGAGAAGTCGCTCGATCACTAATGTGTTCTGTTGTTTATTCTACCGTTACTGACACGGCTAACAGTGTAGCGAGGCTAATAGCAGGTGGCTAACTCTAACGTTAGCTTCATATCCCATGGTGCTTCAGCGTAAAGTGGGCGTGACCGAGACCAGCACAGCGGGGAACATGGTGAAGTGGGTTGAAGTGAAACTTGTTGACTTATTGTGTTTTTCACAAACCGGTTTATTACCCGTTGAGGTGGACCACTCTCCTCCGTGTCCCTGAGCTGCTGCTTCAGATCCGTCACTCTGCTGTGCTGTGAGGGAGTTAGTGGATGAAGATTGGCATGAGGTCGCTGTAGCGCCATCTACTGGATAAGGCTTACTGATTAGTCTCAAACGCTCGCCGATAAATCGGTCGGGCCCTATTTAATCCATGAATAAAAATAATTATAATGAAGAGAGAAAAAAGGTTTACCGTCACTAAGTCCAGAGATTCTACAGAAGAACAGCTGTACCAGCAAACAGGTGAAACCAGAACCAGAACCATGAGGAGAAGTCCATGAGGACTTACATCTGAGAAATGGACTGACTAATCACGAAAGAGGGCCAAGACTTCTTCAGGTTAGGTTATCAGGGACAGGTAAGATTTCAGAGAGGCAGGTGAAAACAATCAGGGCGGGGCCCACAATCACAAAGGTGAGGATGGAAGGAAGAAAGGAAAGAAGGAAGGAAGGATGGAAGGAAGTACATTCACACTATGGCCAGGGAATAAAGAAAAATGGGAAATACCAAAAACAAACTAAAGTAAAAAAAAGAGATTTATTATTTTAATTGGATTATTTAATGTGAATTAAATGTTTGAATAGAAATGGTGAATAAGTCTGTGAGAGGAGGAGTCAATGCAAAGTCAGCCGTCTTCCTCCTCTACTTCAGTGAGTGCAGAGAGGAGGACAGAGGACAGTGGACACTCAGTTTGACATGATGGACTATAGGACAGGACTGCTGCTTCTGACTGTCTGCTGGACAGGTGGAGATCATCACTAATCTGAGTTGGACTTTTTCACCTCATGACAACAAACTCACTTCAATCTGTTGGTTTTTTTCTTCTGTCTTTTCAGGTGTTGGTGGTCAGACTCCGGGTGAATCTGATCCGGTGGTTAAACGTCCTGGAGAATCCCACAGACTGACCTGTACAGCCTCTGGTGTCTCTTTCAGCAGCTTCTATATGAACTGGGTCAGACAGGCTCTTGGAAAAGGACTGGAGTGGATCGCTTACACTAACAGTAATGGTGGTGAGATCTACTACTCTGAGTCAGTTAGAGGCCGGTTCACCATCTCCAGAGACAACAGCAGACAGCAGCTGTATCTGCAGATGAACAGTCTGAAGACTGAAGACTCTGCTGTTTATTACTGTGCTGGAGACACACAGTGAGTGGAGTCTGCTGAGCAGCTGTACAAAAACCTACAGGACTCTTGTTGTTGACTAACCCTTTTTCAGAGTAAATTCAGTTTTCTTTGAATATATAATAGTGAGAAAAGTTTCTGCATTTGTGATATATTACATCAAAAATCACTCTGAAGTAAGGGTGGGAGAAAATCTTGATTCACATGAGTATCATGATTTTTTTGTTTTACAATTTTTGAATCAATTTTTATGTTCAAAAATCTTTTTTTTTTTTAAATAAATCCTAAAAACTGACTCTCATGTGATGTGTATTTTTTGGGGAGTATGGTTCCTGGAATAGTCAGCAGACAATCATAATCATTCAACTGTTTCACTGGTGTTAAAAATACAGACTAAAAATCAGAGAAAATCGACAATATCGTAGAATCGCAATTTAAATCGAATTGGCATCCAAAAAATCATTAAAGAATCGAATCGGGAGAACTCTGAAGGCTTCATTGAAATTCTTTGAGTCGAGTCAAAACCAAGAATCATAAAAAATCATACAAAGCCAGAACAAACTCAAAATCGATTGATTCCAAAGATATTCATCAGAAATCCTGAGTTTTGAGTTATTTTGGTTCCACTGGTTGGCTCATGGTCATGGTCTTGTTTTTTATTGGAGACACTGTTTTTGTTGGACTGGGTTTTGTGTCTGTTTAAAGCCGACATGTTTGGAGGTTCCTCAGAGACAAAAACGACTAAAACAAGGAACCTAACGCAGGAAACACGTCTGCTAGGAGGGGAACAGCTGCTACCTGATCGCCTGAAAGTGCAGATGCTGTCACTCAGCTGTTGGATCGACTCTGCAGAAATATCAACAAATGACAGTTTGGAAGACAAACCAAGATCTGGGCATCCAAGAAATGAGCACATCCTGGTCTACACATGCATGAGATCACGCGACCTTCAGCAGCGGTGGTCAAACCAAAGTGGTGTCTGGAGTTCCATCCCCACAGTACGTGACCAACTCCGAGATCATGGCTTCAGGTCCTACAAGGCTGTCAAGAACCCCCTGATCAATGAGAGACAGAGGTTAGTCCGGCGTTGTTGGACCCAATCACACAAAAACTGTGCAGGCAGGAACCGGAAAAAGATTCTGTGGTCGGATGAATCCAGTTTCCAGCTAACCCCCAATTTTCACCACATCCGCAACGGCTTTGATCTGAAATGGCAGTGATTTTCGCCGTCCGCCAATTCCTAACAGATCCTGTGAGACGAATTTCGTGGCGGATTATAGACAGCAGGAATCGCGAGAACTCACAAGATTCACGTTCAATTGTGCGATAACGAGTTGTCTCTATAAAGACAGACACATAGACATATAAGCAGTAGACTGGGCACGGGTCAATCTGTGCTGAATTTATCCGCCATGCTCCGGCGTCCGGAAAAAGTAGAACTTGCGCGATCAGCTGTGGAGTCCGGCGATCCTCAGAGGAACGGAAAGAAGTCGGTGTAAATTGACACGTTAACTTGAATGGTTACGATCAGCTACGATCGGAGGATACGACCTTTTTATAGCTGTTCCGGATGCAGTGAAAATTAGGTGTAAGACTCGGCATGCACGTGCTCCGCAGTGCAGTGCCCATGTGCGCGCATATTCCGATACATATGAGTCCAAGTAAATTATGAAAAAAACAAATTTTAACGGTGTGCAGGCTTTTGTTTTGTTGTGGCGGTGCGCCAGGATCTATTGCGTATAGGGTAATCCCTAAATTTGGTTGTGTTGCTTTAGGGAGCTGACACGACAGCGTGACAAACTTTACAAACTATTTCCTTTTGCTTGACGTCCGTCAACTTGAAGCCAAATTTTTCCAGATAACTGAAGCCGTCCTTCCTTTCCCTCTCAACCAAAAGCTGCCTTTCTGCCATGTTTTCAATCGATCGCTCCTCATATTTTTGATCCACACACATCACACGCTTGCTGCAGCTGCACGTAACAGGGGTGAATTCAAGGTGTATTCCCAGCTTAAATCCACGCCACTGTGAACCAGTCCTAAACCACTACATCCATGACCCGCAGTCAGACCAACTCTGCTGCTGCTGCTGCTTCATCTGTTTGATTCTATGCAAACTCAGAGAGCTTCCTTGTTCCTCAGCTATAAAAACTGTCCATCAGGCTGTCAGTGGAGTTCACAGCTGCTCACCTTCAACATAAACCATGTTTTCTGGAGCTCTGCTGCTGCTGCTGCTGCTGGCAGCTGGATGTGAGTCAGTCTGGATCTGTCAAAGTCCACAGTTCTTCTTTTACAGCTCAACTCCATCATTTGGTACCAAACATTTTCTCTTTTTCAACAGGTGTGAAGTGTGAACAGCTGACTCAGCCAGCCTCTGTGACTGTGCAGCCAGGTCAACGTCTGACCATCACCTGTCAGGTCTCTTATTCTGTCAGCAGCTACTGGACATCCTGGATCAGACAGCCTGATGGGGAAGGACTGGAGTGGATCGGGATGAGAGTTGGATCATCCACAAACTACAAAGATTCACTGAAACACAAGTTCAGTATAGACACAGACTCTTCCAGCAACACAGCGACTCTGAACGGACAGAACATGCAGACTGAAGACTCTGCTGTTTATTACTGTGCAGGAGACCCACAACAACACAAACCATCTGTAGAGCTGAACAAAAACCCCTCAGAGACATGAAGCCACCAGAGGAGGAGCCCTCAGACCAACAATCATTTCTACATCATACACTGTTGAGAAGAGAGCAGACACAAGAAAGACTCTGTATTGAATGTTCACGACAGAAATTATAATATACATGAGGTTCACCTGTTCAGTTGCTTGTTAACACAAATAGCCAATCAGCCAATCACATGACAGCATCTCAATGCATTTAAGCATGTAGACGTGGTCAAGAGGACTTGGTAAAGTCCAAACTGAGCATCAGAACGGGGAAGAAATTGGATTTTAGAGACTTCAATCCTGGTATGTTTGTTTGTGCCTGACAGACCGGATCTTCTGGGATTTTAACTCACAACCATCTCTGAGCCGTCTCTTTAGTTTTCCACAGTTTCTGGAAAAAGTTGTTCATGAGTGTTGAGTAAAAACAAAAACAAAGGCCAGACAGAAAGAACGTCTTGGACGATATTTTGGTCCTTTTTCAGTCAAAAAATATCCTTCAACTCTCACTTACTAAAAAGCAGAGCTGAAAACTGATACATTCTCATTGGTCTGGATGTCATGCATTTTATTTCCAGTTATGACAGTCAGAGAACGATTATTCTGATCAGATTTTGCACAAATTATACTGAAACATGCTCCAGGAATGGTCGACTCGGTTTCACTGAAGAGAAGAGGTCAAAGTCAAAAATTCACAAAATGAGGAGGAGTCAATGCAAAGTCAGCCGTCTTCCTCCTCTACTTCAGTGAGTGCAGAGAGGAGGACAGAGGACAGTGGACACTCAGTTTGACATGATGGACTATAGGACAGGACTGCTGCTTCTGACTGTCTGCTGGACAGGTGGAGATCATCACTAATCTGAGTTGGACTTTTTCACCTCATGACAACAAACTCACTTCAATCTGTTGGTTTTTTCCTTCTGTCTTTTCAGGTGTTGGTGGTCAGACTCTGACTGAATCTGAGCCGGTGGTTAAACGTCCTGGAGAATCCCACAGACTGACCTGTACAGCCTCTGGATTCACATTCAGTGACTACTATATGGTCTGGGTCAGACAGGCTCCTGGAAAAGGACTAGAGTGGATCGCCTGGATTAATAGCGGTGGTGGTAGTGACACCTCCTACTCTGAGTCAGTTAGAGGCCGGTTCACCATCTCCAGAGACGACAGCAGACAGCAGCTGTATCTGCAGATGAACAGTCTGAAGACTGAAGACTCTGCTGTTTATTACTGTGCCAGAGACCCACAGTGACTGGAGTCTGCTGAGCAGCTGTACAAAAACCTACAGGACTCTTTTTTACTGGACAGCTGTGACTGAAGTTTCATCTAGAAAAGAAAAAAAGAAACAGCCCAAAAGACTGTCCTGCAGTAATCTGAATTACTGACACACAGCTTCAGCTGCATTATCACATAATTCATGAACAGATGGTCACACTCTGACTCACGTTTTAACCGGAAGAACATCTTTATGAAGAGAATCATCTAAACTGTCTTTATGTCCAACTGCACGGGAGAAAGCGCAACAGTTCTGCGCACACCCGGAAAAACACTACCCCACGTGTTGAGGACATGTGGACCATGTGCATCAAGCGCTAGTAAGCGAATGCAACCGGAATTAAATCATTTTTTCTTCAAAATAAAATGTGATATAGAAATATAAGAAGAGGCGGCTCGAAATGAAGGTTTTTCAAGTTCTTGAGGCACAATTTAGTAAATAATATGCAAAATAAATAAATAGATAGACAAATATATACATAAGATATAAAAAAACTTAAAGATATTTATAATAAAAAGTACAACTTGCTTCAATTCAACGTACCTAACAGATGCTTAACAAAACATTTACAGTTTGCAGAAGCTTCAAGTTTTTACCGGAGCCAGCCCAAGGCATAAGAGAACTAAGTGCCTGCTTAGGGGCCCCACGGCTAGTTGGGGCCCCCCAAGAGCAATAAAAAAATAAACATTTAAATATTTTTTATTTTTTGCATGTGTGAGTGATGCTTTATGTATGATCAAATATATATTACTGTAAAAATAAAGTAAGTAAAAACATTTTCGTGCTGCTGCTGATGTAGGCCGATGATTCTTACTGTCAAGATGTCAAAGCTCCGCTACCCTTATGTTCCTCCGTCTGTGAAATGTGCACTGAGCATCCAAAGAGCAGGTAACAATGTCGCAAAAAAAGGAGATAACCTTCAGGAGCCGAGAAAAGAAAGAGGAATAAGAGAAAAAACACTGATATAAAGATATGTCTGCATGTCAGGGAATGTTAATCAAAGAGATTTGTGAAGGTGTGTGAATGATCAACTATCAATAATACTGGCAGAATTAGAGGGCCCCAAAATCACATTTTACTTCAGGCCCCATTGAGGCTTGGGCTGGCTCTGCTTTGTACTCTTGAGAGATAATCACTAAACTTAAACTATATAAAGAAGGTTAAAACACACGTTTAGTTAAAAATTGGTTTATGAAGCTTTTATTATGACGGGTCATAGCGGAAGGAGTTTGTTTCTATCAGCGGACTTGGACCTTCATGGTTTCTTTACCAGCGATCAGCACCGACATTAGACAGACAGGTAATACACAGTATTTAGAGGTGAGTTTGTCTTCCCTTCAGAGCAGACCTGTTGTTAGCTCCATTACTTTAAATTAAGCTTCTTTATACCCGGTTAACGCGGTTTATGTCGCTGGAGAAGTGATGCTGCTCGGTGTTATTAGCTTGTTTAGTTAGCCGCCTGATGCTAGCGTGGATTCAGATTAGACAAACACGAACGTAAAGGACTGATATTTAGAACAGAAAACAGGAAAAACTCTCTCTCTCTATCAAAGCTAAGACTGATTCATGACTGTCCAGTGAGAGTAAACTCCCAGCTGTCATTAATATCATGTAAAGAGCAGTTTTACATGAACTGGTCAGTTTTATCGCCTCTGTAGGATCATCATGTGAAAACCTCTCTGCATTAAGGACATCTTTTTAACTGTTCAGTGAATCTCTGATCTGACCAGGGCTGGGTGATATGGGAAAAGTTTATCACGATATATTTCTTCCATATCAGTCGATATCGATATTAGGGCCTGACTGTTATTGATTTTTCTGGGGCCCATGTCGATAACGATTGTTTGGGGGGGGGATCCGATTATCGATTAATCGGCCGATTTTTTAAAAAAATTCTTAAGTCATGAACAATATATTCACTGTAGATATATACAGTATATATACTGTAGTTTAGGTTACTGCTCTTGTCGTGAAAGGAAGACCAACTGATGACTGTCAGACATTTTACCGCGGTTTATCATTTTTCCGGTAATCGTTACATCCCGAGTTGCGCTAGAGAAAGCGGACTGAATGGTCGTTTGTTTCGGCTCCTCGCTCCACTCTGGGTTTGTAACCTTTTGCGTTGCGCGTGCTCTGCGGCGTGGCGCTGCTTCAGGTGGTAAAAAAGATTTGAGGTATTCCCCGACTTTGAGAACATGTACTCGACATAATTTACAGTCCACATTACTCTGCTTCATGTCCGACCTCCAAAAACCAAAATACCTCCACACCACCGACGTTTTCCTAACGCCAGTGTTGTGGTTGACATTGATGTGGTCATCTGTTGAGCCTTCATGGTCATTTCTGTCGGGGGTAGCACTCATTTTCTTTGTTTCTCACCAACCGTGCTGTCGGCTTCACCTGTTAAAGTGCTATGGTTGGGTGGAGCTGCTGTCTGCTACGACGCTGCAGTTGGTTGATACTTGGTTCTAATTCAGAACATGATTGGTTCAGCGCGGCGCGACCCGGGGAACTCCCCCTTTCATTGGCTATTCGTATAGTCCACCAAAACATGGCCGAATGCCGACTATTAAAAAGCATATTGACCATGTTTTATACTGATATTGAAGGAAATTAATTTTCGATATATATCGTTATCGTTTTATCATCCAGCCCTAAATCTGAAAACATCGACAAATGAAACACTGAACCAAACTTTTACTGGCAGGTGAAACTTATTTTCTGAAACAGAAATCCCCTCTCGCATCTTTACACCACTTGCTCATCTTTCACACCCTCATCTCAGTTTTTGTTGAGGTCGTCCTTTTGCATTTTCAGCCGTGTGTTTTGACATAAATTCACCTACACTGTGATCCAAGTGTTACACCTGTGACCGCTGTTTCCATGACCCTTTCAATGTCTGAATGAAGTCTGTGTGTGTTTCAGATGGATGAAAAACAACCAGAGGAGAATGGAGATGCGTTACAGGGGAAAAAGGAGGATGAAGAAGAGATGGAGGTTACCATGACGACACCTCTGGAAAATCTCAGTGTTAACCCTGAAAAAACAGAAAAGTCATCAGATTCACCGACAGATCCAGAGAGATCAGAGGGCGTCGGAACAGACTCAAGAGCAGCGGTGACTTTTTTAAACAAAGAGGGTAAAACTGAGGAGTGTGATGATGAAGATTCAGAGGATTCAGACAGGTATACACACACACACACACACACACACACACCAGTCTGTATTTGAGAGTCCTGAGCAGGAAGCGTCACAGGAGTGTGTAAAACTTACCCCACTGTCATCCTTCTTTCCCCTCAGTGACAGCTCCTCTTCCTCCTCTTCTTCCTCATCCTCCTCCTCTTCTTCATCATCATCTTCTAATTTTGCTCGGATGTTGGGAGAGGATGACGATGACGAGGGTTTCAGCCAACCAGCTCCTGTCAAGACCAGAGATGAGGTCCTGCTGGAGGTCAGTCTGTCAGTCTTCTCATATTAAAGTTAGACAGGACCCTCTGTTTCATAAAAATGACGACATCGGTGCAAGTAGCACGATGTGAAATTTTCATTCACATTCAGTCTGTGCACACCAGTAGTCAAATAAATACATGATATGCAGATTAAATCATATTAAATAACCTCGATCTGAAAATCAATCAAAGTAAATATGATGGTAGTTTTTGCCATAATCAAGCAGCTGGATTAAAATGAAATGAGACGTATCGGTGTGTTTCTAGGAGCTGCCTGCAGTGGAGGAGCTGTGTGTATCCTTACCAGAAGATGTGGAGCTGCAGCCCATAGGAACCGTCTCCAGTATCCTTCAGCAACTTGGTAAATATTCACTCTGAGGCTGGACAACAAAAATGAGGGTTTCATGGTTAATCACAGTTTGAGTACGCACAATAAACACAACTCTGAAACGTCAATAACTTCTACCATCATCGATTCTGTAAAGAGCTGGAAAACTTCTTTTTTGTCTCCCTGTGTCTGTAGTTATTATTCAGTCTCTAAAGGACACGCCCCCCCTGAATGACGACAGCATCATCTTTAGGTCTGATAGGGTGGCAGTGGGTAAGGTGAGTCAACCAGCAGAGTACATAAAGAACCTCAAACCTGAATGTAAACTAACAAATCCGTGTTTGTTTGACTTTGGTTTCAGGTGTTTGAGGTGTTCGGTCCGGTGTCCAGTCCGCTCTACATTCTGCGTTTCAACTCTGCGGATCAGATCATTAACAAAGGGCTGACAGAGGGGCTCACTCTTTACTACACGCCGAGCATGAAAGAATACACAGCGTACATCCTGACTCAGCAGCTCAAACTGTGAGTACTCGCTGTAGTGGGGAACAGTGTCAAGTGGGCTGTAAGAGTGTAGAAGAACAATAAGAGACACCAACAAGTCAGAACTCAACTCGAAATGAAGATGTGACAGAAGTGCAGCATGAGCGACCCGACAGACCGCCCAGTGTAGAATTTGCTCTCTTCAGAACCAGCTTTTCACACATGGTTAAAGCCAACAGAGCTGTCCACCAACTCTAATGAAGCTCCTCAGAAACTGCAGTTGATTGAAATGACCTTTTTCTTCTTCAGTTTGAAGGGGTCTGATGCATCCTGGAAGAACGACCAAGAACCACCCCCTGAGGTAAGCAGCATCAGACTAACCCCCAATTTTCACCGCATCCAGAACGGCTCAGATCCGGAATTCCTACTGGCTCCATTTGTGAGGAGAATTTCGTGGCTGATTACAGACAGAGGTTATCCTGAAAACTCACAAGAACTCGCAGATTCACGTTCAATCACACGATAACGAGTTGTCTCTCTAAAGACAGACACATAGACATATAAGCAGTAGATTGTGTCCTTCCAGAGGAGGAAATCTACTTCTAGACTTCTAGAATCAGCATCTCCTCATCCATGGTGTCATCGGGGTGAAATGACGTCTAAAAACCTTTCACTTGTTCGTCTCCGCCCGTTTGCATGGTGTGAAATACGATCCTCCTGAAACACGGAGTGTTTTATTTTGAAAAGAAGCCGGATGTTTTATTTTGTGTCTGTGCCCGACTTCCTTTCCAGCACGGGTTAATCTGTGCTGAATTTATCCGCCATGCTCCGGCGTCCAGAAAAAATAGAACTCTTGTGATCAGCTGAGGAGTCCGGCGATGAGGAACGGAAAGAAGTCGGTGTAAATTGACACGTTAACTTGAATGGTTACGATCAGCTACGATCGGAGGATACGACCTTTTAGGAGACGATCAGGATGAAGGTGGAAACTGGGAGTGATGCTCAGACTTTGTTCAAATAGAGCAACAGCACATGAAACATACTCAGTGACTTTGTTATTTTAGGAACCGAACCCGACGTCTCCACTCACTCCGAGAGTTTGCTCTGATTGCTGATTCTCTCTCTCTCTGCAGGTTTTAGATTACAGTGACGACGAGCAGGAGCAGGAAGCTAAGAAGAAAGCCAAAAACACCAAAAAGAAGAGGGACACCAACACAACAGGTGATCACGCACAATCACAGACCATAACATAAGGGATAATGCACGGTGGGCGGGTGGTTATGTGAATGTTAATCCTGACTGGGTGAGCCTACATCTGGATTAGACTGGACTGGACTGGTTGGCAGAGGTTAAATGAGAGCGAACTTTTCCCATGGATTGATTTGATATGACATGTTATCAGTTTGTCTCTGGGTTAGCACTCACTGTGAGGAATTAATAGCCATTGTCGAAGGGTTTCAACCAATCAGAGTCAAGTATTTAACACAGCTGGATGGTGGGTAAGAAGGAGAGGTAATTTTTCTTATTCCTCTGACTTTTCTTTGTCATATTTTCCTCTCTAGATAAACCCGACCACAACACCAACAACACCTCGCAACAGCAGCACGGCGAGAGGGGTTTCCAACCGAGACATGCAGGGGCTCCATTCAGGCACCAGAACCCACGCCATAAACAACCACCTTTCAGACACACACACACTCCACCTAGACACACACACCCGCCGCCCAGTCAAACAAATGTCCCTCCCATGTACCTCCCTCCTCCCTGCCCGTACCCCCCTCCACCTCCTCACCCCTTTCTTCCGCCTAACTTCCCTCTGTACCCACCCCCTCCTCCCTCTTTCTTCAACCCCTCCTTCTCCTCTCCTCTGTGGCCTCCTCCTAACTCTCTTCCTTTCTCTAACCTCCCTCCTCCTCCTCCCCCACCCCCACCTCCTCAGTGACACCCATGGCGCCTTCTGTACATGTTGGCAAAGGTGATATAAAAAAATCTTTACAGAGCAGATGAAGCTACAGTGACACTCTGCGACTGCTGTGCTGCCTTTTCCATTTCACTTCATTGTCATTCAACTCTCTTACAAACTGTTTCTGAAAAAATGGTCCCATAGTCACCAACGTGGTGTGTTCAACATGCTCTGTTATTCAAAGAAGGAACTGCTTTCTCACACAAAACCAGAAACCCTGTTGACTTCATGTTGTGGTCTGAACAAAGGGCTAAGACAGTTGAAAATTGCTCCTGCAGATTTGTGCATCTAGCAGCAGGAGAACAGGTAATGTCAGCTACAAAATCTTTAGGGCAAACTTTGCTGATCGATCTTTGTAAAGAAAAAGTTTCTGTTTTTGTTTTTTTGTTCTTGTCAGGCTCTGATTGTCATTTTTTTGTCTTTGTGTAAACAGTGTAATAATAACTCCTCGAATAATAAGAGACTTTATTTTCTAAGTTTAACCCAATCTCCAAATAATTTGGGATTATGTTAATAAAATGTGAATAAAAACAGAATCTTATGTCTTGCAAGTCATTCCAACTCTATATTTAGTTTAAAAAATGCAAAAACAAAAGTGTTTCGATCTTTGTAAATATTTACTCATTTTGAATTTGAAACCTACAGTAGGTCTCAACGGGGGCCGGACCGATTTATCAACGAGCCAATTAAATCGGCCAATTTTAGCCCATTTGAGACTAATCAGTAATCGGCCAAAACTCGATGATTGTCGCCGATATTTTCAGAATTAAAATGCGGAGAATAAAATTCGGTTTCACTTCAAAAATGTTCCGACATTTGAAAAGTTCCCAGACTTATCCTATAGATGGCGCTACAGCGACCCCATGACAATCTTCATCCACTAACTCCCTCTCAGCACAGCAGAGTGACGGATCTGAAGCAGCAGCTCAGGGACGCACGGAGGAGAGTGGTCCGCCTCGACGGGAAATAAACCAGTCTGTGAAAAACACAATAAGTCAACAAGTTTCAGTTCAACCCACTTCACCATGTTCCCCGCTGTGCTGGTCTCAGTCACGCCCACTTAACGCTGAAGCACCATGGGATATGAAGCTAAAGTTAGAGTTAGCCACCTGCTATTAGCCTGTTAGCTACACTGTTAGCCGTGTCAGTAACAGTAGAATAAACAACAGTACACATTAGTGATCGAGATACTTCTCTGACTGAGGCAGCTGCATGTCTCCAGATGAGACCGGACCGGAAATGAGGAACGGGAGTGAAGACGTGGAGGCACCGATCGGGGGTGGGGGGGTGGGGGCTGTGTGTGTTTGAAAATGCTTTTCTGGTCCAAGTTTGATCAGTCGCTCTTGCTGTCGGTGTGAAGAGCAGTAACCCACAGTATATCTACAGTATATACCGTAGATATCAACAGTATTTTATAACTTCTTAAAAATTTTGTAAAATTCGTCCGATTAATCTGTAATGGTCCATATGGTCGGGCTGAGTCTCAACAGATTTGGGACTATCACTCGTTTCTCATCCTGTGTCCTCGGCTCTTCTTTCACCAACTACATAATGAGATCTTCTGAATGATATTCTGAATGCATTTTGTTTGGGGACTACATACTAACTGGATGGATGAAGTTTCCAAAGAGAAACTGTGAGCACAAGTTTAAGCTTATTCTTGTGAGCCTACAAGAATAAGAAGGAGCAGTGAGACTTGGATTGACCCTGTTATAGGAAACAGGACAGAATGGAGAGGACAAGGTTTCATAATTTCATCTGCAGGACACTGACTCCTCCTTTGATAGTCTGTCAGAGTCCTACTCTATGCAAAGTGAGCTTCCTCTCAGTCTGATATAAAGACTTGACATCAGGCTGAGAGTCAGAGAAGAAGAGAAGCTCCCATCAGGTCAGCTTCAACACCAACCATGTTCTCTGGAGCTCTGCTGCTGCTGCTGGCTGCTGGATCCTGTGAGTCTCACTGAGACAGACACACTGACAGTCTGATCCTAACACTCTGACTCTGAATACACTGATTCAATATTCAACATCTTTTCCTCCACAGGTGTGAAGTGTGAACAGCTGACTCAGCCAGCCTCTGTGACTGTGCAGCCAGGTCAACGTCTGACCCTCACCTGTCAGGTCTCTTATTCTTTGAGCAGCTCCCGGACACACTGGATCAGACAGCCTGAGGGGGAAGGACTGGAGTGGATTATAAGTGGACATGTGGGACACAGCACACAGTACAAAGATTCACTGAGGAACAAGTTCAGTCTGGACCTAGACTCCTCCAGTAAAACAGTGACTCTAAACGGACAGAACATGCAGCCTGAAGACTCTGCTGTTTATTACTGTGCCAGAGACCCACAACAACACAAACCATCTGTAGAGCTGAACAAAAACCCCTCAGAGCCTGAACACCTGTGACATGAAGCCACCAGAGGAGGAGCCCTCAGACCAACAATCATCATAATGACTCTGGAAACTGTCAGAACTGTGACAAATATCAAAAGTACAATCATTAAAATAATGTATTTTACTTAACTTGATCATTATGACATTTAAAATACATATCACTATTCTGTTTTCATATATATTTTATTATATATATTCTATTTTATATTTCATTTAAACTCCATATGACTGAGGTGAAACTGTGACTCCACTATTCTGATTATCTCAAAGTCCTTCAGTGTTTAAGGGGCAGTTGTTGGCCATGATTCAAAGGTTAATTTTGCGAAGCCATTTTTGAAATAGTTTCCACTGGTCATCGAGCCTCGTTTTTCTGAGTTTTCTGCGTGATTTCAAAGTCACCTCTGAACACAACCCAGCAGGCCCAGGTCATCCTCTGTGCGAGTTTTTGAGTGAGACCAAAGAAGCGTCCAAACAAGCATCCACAGGATCCACAGGATCCACAGGCGCCGGCTTTACTTCAGGCCCGAGTGCAACAACTCCAGGCTCATCCTTCGGCTGACTTCAGTCGTCTTCTGAGCTGAACCGCTCGAACCGCCGGTAGCCCTGGACCTTCAGAACCTGCTCCATCTTCTCCAAGGACCAGTCTCACTTAAGTATACAAACGTCCAGAGCTCCAAAGAGGGCTGATGCTGTCTCATGCGTTCATAACTCAGATATCCTCTTATTCTGGTAATCTTAGATTCCTCCAAATCCACATCCGAGTTTATCTTGACACCAAAGTTGGTGTAGGTTAATATGTTAGCGCATATTCACTCACTATCATTAACTTTAGTGCTCCTAGTCTGACTCAGAATCTTTATTTATTCACCTATTATTATTTTATCCTCATTATCATTATCATTTATTGCATGTATGTCGTACCATCATTTATCCTGTAATAAACAGATCATTATTTTTCTAAGTTCTTGTCTGTTAGTGTTCTTCCAGAAGTGGAGTCCCTGAAATGAGAATTTCAGCTTAAGATATGAGATTGATTAATTAAAAATTTACTTGATGTTTGATTTCTGAATTAAACTTTTGTTGTTCTTTATTTTCCCACCATTAAGGGTGGGTGGTGCCCCTTTCAACGAGTGCATAAATGTCATAATTTGAGATTATTAATCTTCAGATATTTATTATAAATTCAAATCGCTACAAAAATGTTTTGTAAAGAGGGATGAAGACTAAAGATTTCCTTTATGTTGAAGAAAATAGGGACACTGTAAAATATCAGTTTGTACCTGAAGTTGTGTTTCACTGTGAGACCAAACTGGAGTTAATAATGAAGAAAAATTATGAGACAATTTAACAAAATATATAAAAACCACAAAACATGAAGGTGACATTAATTTTCTCTTTGAGAGGAGGAGTCAATGCAAAGTCAGCCGTCTTCCTCCTCTACTTCAGTGAGTGCAGAGAGGAGGACAGAGGACAGTGGACACTCAGTTTGACATGATGGACTATAGGACAGGACTGCTGCTTCTGACTGTCTGCTGGACAGGTGGAGATCATCACTAATCTGAGTTGGACTTTTTCACCTCATGACAACAAACTCACTTCAATCTGTTGGTTTTTTTCTTCTGTCTTTTCAGGTGTTGGTGGTCAGACTCTGACTCAATCTGAGTCGGTGGTTAAACGTCCTGGAGAATCCCACAGACTGACCTGTACAGCCTCTGGATTCACAATGAGCAGCTACTGGATGGCCTGGGTGAGACAGGCTCCTGGAAAAGGACTGGAGTGGATCGCTTCCAATCATGGTAGTACCACCTACTACTCTGAGTCAGTTAGAGGCCGGTTCACCATCTCCAGAGACAACAGCAGACAGCAGCTGTATCTGCAGATGAACAGTCTGAAGACTGAAGACTCTGCTGTTTATTACTGTGTTCGACAGCCACAGTGACTGGAGTCTGCTGAGCAGCTGTACAAAAACCTACAGGACTCATCTTTACTAAAATCAAAGATGCTTGTAGTTTATTTTTATTCTTCTGTGTATTAAAATAGCCTCAAAAACATTGTTTTAACAGACTATCCAATGAAACCACTGATCACAGAACTACAGGCTGGTATGATTCAGTTGACACTCTCCTATAACGAACAACAAAAAGTAATTCATGTCTGCAGATAATTATATTGTGGGCAGTAGTAGCTCAGGAGGTAAAGTGGCCATCCAACAACAGGAGGGTTGATGGTTCTATCCTTGCTGTATCCCTTGTCTGTCCATTGTGTCCTTGGGCAAGACACTTAAACCCCCTTGGTCCCAATGTGTGTCCTCCACTGGTTTATGATTGTCAGTGATGTTTGGTGGTGGTTGGAGAGGCCCCAGTGGTAGGACTACACCATACATCGTTTGAGCATCGTCATTGTGATGTACGTGGGCAATAGTCACATTGCTGAGCCTGCGGTGTAGGAGGCGAATGTACTTAGCTAATTTCAAGGGTAGCTGACTGACATTCACTGTATGTAGACTCTGCATGTGCTGTGCAGCAATCCACCAATCACATTCGTTCTTTATTCAGTTGCCAAGCAGACTACCCTGCCAGCCGTCA